ACCATAAGTCAGCTAGCATTTAGCAGACATAAACAAATTAACTTGACTGGAATTTACAAATGGTTTAAGTTATCTCAGTTTATGTCATTACAATTACTTATTTCTGTTGTATTTGTTGGCAAGTGCTTGATTTCCTAAATATCCGACCAGAATACGATTTTTTAATTATTTCCAATTTGAATTTCTAAATTAGGTGCTGCCGAACTTGCGCCTTAACTGACTAGTTACCATGGCTACCCTTAGAAAAGTTTTTTCTTATGCATTGCTGTCAGTTGGAACAACGAGAAATGACATTTTATTTAATTTAAAAAAATTATGGGCATTGAGTCAAGAGTTATCGAAGTAGCATACCATAATTGCAGTTAGAGATTTATTGAGTTACATTCACCCATCAAAAGTTAAATATTTCGATTTGCATAGAATACCGAGCCGGGTCATAATACTGGTTAAGTTTCCTAATTTATCTTTGTCATACATTTTGTTCAGCAATATTGAATAATTATTTTACGATGGGGAAATGTGTATACTTTGCATTTCGAATCGATTAAATGCGCTAGATAAGATTATAAATGTATCATTTACAGTAGTATCAAGTACTTAATATGTTGAAACAACTATTTCTGTTAAACCATGGCCACATCTTTCTTATACACCGACTGATTATTTTATCAAGTTTTCGATTGTCGCATCTCTTCTTTCACTATCTCATCTGATAAAAAGATACTACATTAAATTATTCTTAAAATTAAATTTCTTGACTTCAGTCACTGTCCTTGTATACCTTTGCATTCAACTAGAAATTGACCGAAAACTCAGAGTATGATACAATCTGTAAACTATGAATACGTCCCAGCTGACCTCATGCTATTCGAAGTTTATCATATTTCAAAAACGGCACATCTAGGTATACGTTCATATCAGACAGTGATTAGTGACCAGTCTAAATATTATATTCTGTCCATATAATAATTTCGACAGATTTCAGCAGAGATTCAATTGGTAGTCTATAATCATATCCAACCAATACATAAAATGTTAATAATCTTTATATGTATTCTGTATCACTCCAAGTTCTTAACATGATTAAAATGTGACTAACTGGTCATATGAGCTGGACTGCCTACATTTTTACGTTTGGGAAAAAAACACTTCGATCATATTGTCTGTCTTTTTGAAGCTATCATCATGTCATATTTATTTACCACATTTTTATTGTATATATATAGTTCTTGCTAGTTGTAAAGTGACTAACTGTGGAATCCATGACAAATGTCTTATTAGCAAGTTGTCAGTTTGATCTACCTGATCCTCGGTATGGATGTTTACACTGAGTCTTTAAACGTCTTTGCGTTATTCACTGTGTCATTAAGTTCAGTTAGTCACTAACTTGTTGAAAGTGTATGGATTTTAGTTTGTAGGGAATCGTATTTTTCGTTATTGATGTTAATGACACAGGTTCGAATATCCCAAGTAGTATCCATGTGTTGGAGATTACAGATACTCCTACATGAACATAGTGATCTCCGGTGCTGTTAAATGTATGAGGTCGGTTGCATTTATTGGTTGTCCATGAGGTGGAACGATGCTTCTCCTGGAGGAACCCAGAGAAGAAATAGAATTAAGTGGTCTTGGTGACCTGGGATCTTGAATGAGAAACTTTTTAAGTTCATTCACACACGGGATTTTTGTGAGTGCTAGATATGCTGGCTCCCATTTTTAAGTCTTTAACGTTGAGGACAGTAATTTGTGGCTCAAAGTGAAGTGTAGTATCTTCAAGGTCGACCTTTTTTTCAACCCTCCGTGTTGATAAGTTAGAAACATCTTAGACACTGGTTGTCTGAAGGAAACAACCTATTGGTGTTATAAACCTACACAAAAGGTAATACAACTCCGCCGTCAGACCTTGAGTTCTTGCTTTTAGTGTGACTTTCCTTCAACAAACGTACCTAGGATGGTAGGACCAAGTGGCAGAAACGAATATTCCACACAAAACACTTCAATCGGACCACCGTAATATGCAAGTCCTACTCCACATCAAAGCAGCAGCAACAGTTGGGAATACTCTTTGTTGATAAATACCAACTAACAACTCAGATCGTTTTTCCAGTCCATTGCCTTCAAGCAAGTACACCTCAATGTTGAACCATTTAGACTAGTGATCATATCGTAACTTGATAGAATTAGATCAAAAATAGGGTCTAAACAGTATGACATGAAATACCACTAAGTAATCAATTGCAATCATTTCTTAGATGAATTCGATTGGTTTTTAGTACATAGTAAGTTGTCAATCATTGGAGGTTTCATCATAACGGGAAAAAAAGCAAAGACCGCAGATAAAGATTTATTATGCAACAAAAAATAGACCAGAACTGATTGAAAACATTGAATTGTATGCTTTACATAGACTGATTAGTAGGCGAATTCGAATAAGTGAATCTTGGTAGTGTTGTACACTAATCCATAACAACGTATGAACACAATTTACAATATCATAAGATTAAAATGATATAATTAACACATGCAATTAAACTACTGAGTTAAACGATTACTCTTTCCTAACACCTCCCCGTTTTTAAAGTTCGGAGATGTAGAAGTAGGTCTTCTGTTAAGAATCAACTTGAAAATTAATTGTCCTTCTTTGTGACATATGTATAACTGATATTACCTAATTTTTTTTGAAGTTAGACCCAGCAGGTTGAAACTACGTAAGATTTGGATACGAGAGATATTGAGTACTTTTACTTACACAACCGATTACAAGAAATCTAAATTATACATCTGACTCATCGGATAAACAATGGTAGCATCCCTCTAGTTCTGTCTTCTGAATCTTCGCCAGTTGAGAGAATTGTCATAATCGAGTGTATGGCTTCATTCTTCACACTTATCTACCAATAATGTGCTACGGACTAAACATAAAAACCTAATATCATAGTTCCTACCAGTTGATCAAAATGTACCACACATACTATTTCAATTCGTGTAGTCCTATCGTAAGCTGCATACACCACACAAACATAATCCAGGTATGTGTTTATAGCTTATGAATTGCATTTCTCAAGAGTTGTGATTTAGCGACCCAGACCAATAAAATCAAGCCGTCGTACTACAACTACGGTTGACTCATGTACACCCAGGTACTGAGAACGTTTATTTTAGCAGAATTGGACACTATTGACTGATCATTAAGTAATGACTATTGTAATATTGGTTCAGTTCTTTAGTATTGATTGAATTCTGCCGATCTAGTTCAGGTAAGCCAACCAACCTGAATGACCCGATACAACAAAAAAATCACATCACGATGTTAAGTAGTTAGAGGTGGCCGACGTGAAACTTCGAATAACAGCCACCATACAGTGAACAACCAACTGTAACTATTACATTCGAACAGGAGTTCAGTTGCGACCGGATTGATTCAGTGGGGACGTTCCAGTTCGCAACGCCGAATAACCAATGTTTTGATCTCACAGACTGTTTCTTCAAAAATTCCAGATGCCTTCTTGACGAATACCGACTCGGAAGGCACTGACGTCGACTGTCTCCAACCACCTAACAGCAGACGAATGTGTCTGACGAACTAGACGCCACTACTTTCACACAACACTTATTCATTAGGCGACGCAATCTTAAAATACATTCACACTCCATTTATAACCTCGAAAATAATATTAAAACAACACTCAGTATCGGGTAACAATTGGTCGGAAGGCAGACTAGAAATATGATATTCTAACTACCATCAGTGTACAATTGGCTGTCATTACGGCGACCTATGAACTTCTAGAACATCCTATGGAGTATCAGAACGAGTTTGAAAATTAAGACAGTGCTATTACTGCGTCACCTTGGATATAATTTGGATGATCTAGATTTATCAAATGCGGTGTCTTACACAAGTGACCCCAAGTTGCTGTCTCTGAACACGAATTGGTAGGGCTGTTGACGTAATACATCAATTCAGTGCAGGAAGAACTACCCCGCTGACTATGGATAAAACTATCTTTTCTTCAGACAAATGATGAAAGTTCCTACAACCAACATGCTTCAGTGAGAAATACTGATATGCTCTTAAGTGCTAATGTACAGAAACGGCGTTATCAACATTTAAAAAGCTGACAGAAGAACAAATACTCAGCATACACTTTATTTTTTGGACGTTTATTTTTAAAGAATCTGAATAATAACAAATGAGAATAAGAAAGTTTGAAGATAGTAGGAAACACTAAAGATTTGTTGCGACAAATTAGTTAGTAAGGTGTTATATACCGAAACCAGTAAGATAAACATAAAAGATAATGCGGACATTTGAGACTAAATGATAAAGGTAATATTTACAATGGACAGCATTCATGGAATGAACAAGAATTACTAGCGGTAAACTACAATTTGATAAATATACTAGTTGACATTAGGTGAGAAATGAGGAAACCTAATTTAACTTCAGGAGTTTGCACCCCACTACACTGGAAGACAGACGAAGTGCACTTACGGCATGAACACATGGAAACTAAAAGCATTTACAATTGTTGTGGACTATATCTCAAACAGTACAATTATCATGAGCACTAAATTTTAAAAGACCAGTTCTGAGTGCGAATAAAATACCTACAAGTGAATGGATGACAGGCACAGCCTGAACGAAAGTCATAAAACCTAGAGATTCATATCACAGGCAGAAAACCGTAAACATTTGTCCAATATTAGCCACGTATGCTATTTGGAGGTTTGCTTCGGAAGAGAAAATATGCATGTTTTTAATTACAAAAATAATTGGAAATGTTAAAAACAAACGATTCAAGGCACAAACTGTGAATGCAGATAACACATATGTAAGAACTATTGACTAGACAACTGCTAGAGCTGTGCAGAGATGATAACTGTCTGAAATTTTAGAAATGTCGCTAGCTATTAAGGGATAAAATGTTATAAATAATCTGTGGGCAAGGGGAACTGTACACTGTACATGTGGTAAAATCTTTTGGAAAGACTTAGATTCATGTTTGAGTATTGTTTGTAGGTATTCGTTTACCCAAAGCCAAGTTACTGTTCGATGGCTGTGAACCTGGAACTGAACTATGATTTACATTGATTTGAGAATTGTGTCCGGTTGGCGTGTTTATTGCTGTCACGTTCGCGTTTGAAGTGACCGGTGATTGGTGATTTGTGAAGCTATGTGGACTGCTCAATGAATGAGCATGACTGAACACTTTCTGGACACCAAAGCCAGAGACATCGGGACCAATAGTTAAAGTAGGAACTGTTCCAAAGGCTGTTGGGAATGAGTGAGAGGATGTAACTGCGTACAACCCTCCGTTACCACTCGGATTATTGGAAAGCGATAGGCTCGGATGAGCCTGAGTGAGTGCCACATACGGTTGGTAAGGATGCGTCGGAACGATACCACTGTTCGCACCAGAACCTTGGTTGAGCGGTATCCACATCCCGCTAGCGTGTGCAGGAACGGAACGGCTTAACAGTGAGTTTGTGCCTGGCGGACAACTAATCGGAGGCGTGAAATAAGCGTTAGTTTGGCCGGGATGAGCTCCTGGAATAAACTGGAGAAACACAGCTGAATTAGGAGCAGCAGGAGACATGTTGTTAGGATTTCCAACAGAAGGTACATACGTCCCAACGATAGGCGCCGGGCTACCTGGAGTGGCAAGGCGGTATAATGCGGATATGAAGGACGCAGTATTTGGGTCTGATGGAGGCAAAACTGCAGTGCTGGGCCCTGACGCTAACAAACTACACTGGTTGGCAGCCGCAGCCATAAACGCAGCCGCCTGATTTTGAGTGTAAAGTTGTGGACAATGGAAAGCTTGTGCTGGTCTAATTGTAGATTGTGGACCGAGGTCGGATTGGTAGAACGGAGAAGTTACTGATGCATGTTGTTGTGAGGGTGAAGAACTAGAATATATTATGTTCCCTGGTGAAGTGTTTGTCAAAATTCCAAAATTGTTCGGAGTTAAGACATGAGCTGAAGATTGAATGTAGTTCGGAAGCGAATTATGTGGAATGGAGTTCATGGATTGACCCGAAACTCCCAAAACCTGTGTTGCACAAGGAAAATGGGTGTTGTTACTGCCTGCAGAAACCTGACTTCCAAATGAATGAGCCGAAACCGGACTTAGAATTGAGATGTTTTGATTTAAAGGATCAACAGTGGGATGTGTAAGGGATTGACTGGAAGCTGTAGATACTTGCACAACAATTGTGTTTTGATCAGAAACCGAAGTTGCCAAACTTACACCTTGATTTACAGGACGCACATAGCCAAACTCGACGGATGGAGAACAGCCTTCGTTGAAATGTTTTACCAATGTTGGACAAACTCGAGTAATCCCAGTTGGTGATCCATCAGGGGAAAGCACAACCAACAAAACACTGCTACTGGAAACGGCATCTAGTAATTCGGATTCAGTAGCAGACACCCAACGGAGTCTATTGAATTGTAACAGCTCGGTTAGAGGGCAAACATCTTGATTGGCAGTTAGTATCGCACGTAAGTGGGAATCACGTTGTAAATTGCTTTCACTGAAGTAATACTCGCTAAACGAATGAAAACACAAAATATCATCAATCTGAAATTCAGGTTTATAATATAAATACTGATTTGCTGAAGGATAATTGTACGTTGATGGACTTAACAACTCATAAATACCAGAGATCACATCAAATTTTTACGCTTTCAACTAACTACAGAATTAACCTAATATTATTTAAACTTATTTGAACAACATAAGGGCATGTAATTTTTTAAGCACGGGGTCAAGGTATTCACGATAAGTCAGAAGCGACTGTTAATCTCTAGGTATTAACTTAGATATAGAAAGCGATTGTTCTGAACGCTCCAACCCAACCAAAGTTACAAGACGATCTGTACAATTAAGTGACAACTGACTGTTACCAATGGAACATTTTTAGTGTCAACAATTGAGGTAGAAATGATAAGGAATATACTATTTAATTTCCAAAACCTTTTTCAATTTAAAACAAAACGTAGCTTGCTAACATCTCCCTTAAGTGCAAAAATTACAGGGCATTGTAGCAATATCTTATTTGTACATTTGTAACTCTTCAAGAACTCACGTATTATAACTACGTAACATCTGTTTGGAATGTGTAGCTAAACATCAACTTAATTGAACCATAATCACTGATGTGACTTATCGTGGAGGATGGGCCATTGATCAGCAAACCATTAAACCAGTAGTGACAAAACTCTGCACGTGATCAAAAGAGGAATACATAGTTTGATATTTTTGTGATGAGAGTAGAAACCAAAGACGTCACGTCGTATTCCCATAACTTTACTTTTATACATGTACATAAAGATATTTATACATTTGACTAATTTTTTAAGAGATTCTGTGTAGAAATACCACAGCAACCAGATAGTATCGTTAGCTATTAGTGTGTGGCTCATCTAAGTACCTGATGAATGAGTTAATTATTACAACAGTGATTAGTTAGCATGAATTGTAAAACAAAACCCAACTTACACGTGATGCCTAATATAATCCAGTTTCGATAGGAACTTTAGAAACTTGGTTCGATTCACATTTTTTGGGACAAAAAACACACGATCCTCAACTATGATAATGTCGTCAGCTTTTATTGGTCTTGTAGGTGCATCATCACTACGAGATTGAGATGACGGATTGGACAAGTCATTTTTGTTAACAGCTGATTCAGTGAGGTCGGCCAAGTCGTGATTTGACGACCCTAGAGCATCTTTTATGGCAGCAGCAACTGCACGATGTTCTCGGAGGCTTGTGGGAAAAACTACTTTTTTCCATCCCACTTCATTAATGTATGCGATCACCTGAGTTACGTCAACCACTTCAGGGGTATCAGTTGGTTGTTCTGTGCCTGTAGAAGTCATGGATGATTGTGGGTTGAAACTGGGATGTACAGGCTGAACAGCTGATACATCAGAAAGGATAGGTATAGGAAGATTTTCGACCGGAAGATGTGGTAGAGGTCCAATAGAATGTTGTATTGTCGGTTGAGTGGGTAGGATTTGAGTGTTTGCTAGCGACACGGTAGGAATTATTGTGTGTGAAGCAGGTGTTTGGGCAATCTGTAAGGCAGGAGTCAGCATCGTTGCATGTGCCCCTGGGATGATATATGTAACTGAAAAACAAAAAAGAACCAAAGGTTAATTAATCGACTACTCTGGTCCTCGATCAATAACGACACTCTTAAACTTGGGTGAGTGCTTGGTGAATAGTTTTAGATTGATATCCAAACTCAAAAATTCCTAAAATATTACTTGAAATTCTAATTTTCTAATCAACATCATCTAGTCATTGGTTTGTATCGTGTATGTAGACAGTCATAGTAAGGAAATTAAATGTGCAAACACTGATTGTATAAGAATTAAAGTTAAATTTGCTTATTTCCTCTAAGGAATAATTTCTTAATTCATTCGCTTAGACATAGGTGGCAACACTATAGCAACGCAGTCCAAATAGTTGTGGAACGTACGATTATGCTTATCGACTTATTTACCACACTGATTTATTTACCGGGTTCTGGGTCCCTCTTGTAAATGGGAGGAGTGCTGATACTACCAGTTTGCCAACATTCAAAGACGGAGTAGGGTATGAGCCTAGAACTTGGTTGCTGAGGGTTTAACAGTTAAGCAGTTAAGTACAGACAACTAACCACTAAATAAAACACCAGGAAAGACAGAGGTGCAGCATTTGTTTAAGTGTTTATTGACTGATATTTGACGCGAAAGATTGGAACTAGACAGCAATCCTATTTTCACGGTACCTATATGAGGTTTTTAAGACGTGAATAAAAACACATTGAGTAACACACTAATGTCGTTTTTAAGTTGTGTCACACAATGTTTTTTGGGACAATGATCTCGACAATCTTCTACTTGTGAACAAAATTTACGAGCAGCGAAATTTTCGCTTTTAGACCAATGAAACTGAGAAATACAATCAAATCAAAGAAAAATTCAACAAGGCAATGCGCTCATAACAACCGTGTACAAACAGAAAACTAGAAAGCCGAGTTTGATTCTGTCAGCTGGGGATCCACAGTCAATGTAAATGTTAAATTTACCCTCAAATCCTATGTCCAATTACTAATCACATCAATGAATCTTGTGATTCCCAATACGGCAGAGGACAGAGTATATTAGGACCATCAGAACGGAAACACTGAGAACCGAATTAAGCCGGGGAGAAGTCGGGAATTTACTCGTTTTAATCCTACAAAATACCGCTTTTACTTTGACTGACTTGATGCAAAACTCTGAACACCCTAATTATTTTGCTTTTTATACCAAAGTGTGTTTGGAGATGCCATCAGTAACAATAAATGCACTTGCAGGCTGCACTTACATGGGTCATAATACATGGTATCCAAAGAGATGTTTGGAGTTTGTTGATGTTAAACTATTAGAAGTAGATTTTAATTGGTGTGCTTTCATGTCTATGTCCAGTGGTTCATATACGTGAATCTGACTTAGACCATTAAATGGTAACGTTTGTCTTTGGCTGACACGTTTAGCCGTAAATGATAGGAATCGCAAAAGCAAAATGTGATGCCGCAAAATGATGTGTTATACTGAGGTTAGTATATCAAGAGATGAGACCAGTTAGTTTTTAGAATAGGTTTTGAGATTAAACGATTACTCCCTGAATGGGACATGCACAGCAGCAATAGTATATGATTGAAGATGTTGGGTGACGACTCAGTGGCACATTTTGAAAACATTCTAGATGAACAAATTTTCGATCACCCCACCAGAACTAAAATTACGCAGCACACTATAACCCGAACGACAGACCCCAAAGTCTTTCGGATGAGGTGATATAATACCCCATTACAACTCGTGAATAGCAAGATCTGAGTGATACGAAAAATTACATCAAGTAGGTAAAGCAACCGAAACCTGAAAACTAACAGGATCATGGATTATCAACAGGAATACGCATTGCGTATAATCAAACTAAGGAATGTCATAAACTAACCGTATGTAATACACTAAACATTATCGGATCTAATAAAAACAAACAATATGCAAGCTGTGTAACTAATTACAAAAAGTATCACTCCTGGCGAATTTATTTATTTATTTGAATGAAAATATTGGTACAAAGGAGCACCGAATACATATACGCCACACAAGTTACTTGATTTGTGCGTGGTCTGTGATACTGCTTGAGTTCCCAGACGGAGGCAGGTCTAGGAGGGGGCACGCCGTAGCCTTCGACTTGAAGGCAGTGGAGCAACGTCAGGAAACGCAGTACCATGATAGCCGGTCACCAACAATCGGTTCACGCACCACTTGTTTCTCGGGATCCTGGGGCTCATCTGCACCACTGGTTTGGAATCAGGGTTCTTTAACCCTAACACGTGGCACCTCCGCGTTTAATAACCTGATCAAAGCGCCGGACACTCCCTTTTCGTCCTCTCAATTTTGTAAACAACACCTTCACCGCGGGAAGGCAGTGAGTAGGGCTTCCCTGGCAGTGGCTGAATACGCGTGGCCATGTGAGAATATTTTGAGAGAGCGATAAAAATGAATAGAATGACCATATCGTCAAGAAAAATTTAATATCGAGTACTATGTAAGAGTGACCTCATTAACTTAACCACAATATCAAGACATTAAAACTCTGGCATGAATTGCATTTGAGACACGTACACTACGCACTGAAAATAACTCTTGGCCAAGCCCTTACGTGAACCTAATTCAACAGTTGGAGGCGTCAAATATGTGGAATTTACGGACATCTCTTGTATAGGCTGGTGATTTGTAATAGGGCTGTTGACGTAAACCATTTTGTTTCGAGGACCGAATTTGTACTGACAATCAGTCAGTCATCTAGAACGTATGATCAGGCAAAAGCTTATCACTAAATTCATAATAGTTACAATAATGTTAGTAATATATAAGGACATAGTGCAGGAAGAAACTATCAGATGGTAGGAAGAAAGCAATTTTAATCTGTTCAAAGGAAGACAGAGTGTATACACCTACGCTATTGTCATCGATTTCTAACCATGTCGCTCAGGGTCTCCAACCATAGGTTACGATAATCATGCTGACCCCAACCAAGTAGTCTGCATCTACTAACACAACTAAGACTAGAAGTTATGTGACTTCAAGCACTGATGTCATTGACGCATACAAGTTGTTGGGTGGCAAATATTTCAGCCGACGATGTTGCTGAACATATAATTAGAGCAAACATCCGTAAGCGCATAGCATGAATATTACTTACTTTGAGGTAGCGTTTGAAAGGGAATAAGAGGTTGGATGGAGGAGTTTGCAACCAAAGTAGAATGTGAATTCAAATTGTGACTATCAGTTTCGTTGGGGAACATTGGTTGGTGTTGGCGTTGGTAAGATCGCCTTGCACGGCCAACGGGACCTGCATCATAATTAGATGGGATGTTAGTTGACTGGCTACCCGACTGCGACGAAACATTAGATCTCTCGCGATAAACTTTGCGAGGTGTTGGATTAAGCATAGAGGAAACCGAGCTTGGTTTGTTATTCTGCAAGTCTGTGTCTGTTTGTTGACCTGACACCTCAACTGATTCCGACAGATGTAAACCGCGATCTGAAACCTTTTCGTCGTGAGACGATACATCCGTACTCAAATTAACATCAACTGAGATGCTACATGTTTCACTTGTTTGAACTGGACTATTCTTTTGACTGAGTTCATTTGGATTTTCTTTAGGTTCACTGACTGGTCGTATACTTCCTAAGCGACCAGGATGACGATAGAACCCATTGCTGTTTCGACCTCTGTTTGCATCAGGTAAGATGCGACTTCGATAACCTCCATAACCTGAAGAATTACATAACATAAGTCGCTTACCCCTGCGAAATGACCTGACATTACTATTGGTGTAGTTAGCTCCGGCAAATGGTCCAACGGTATGACGGCCACGCCCTCGAGGAAAACCACAAGTAGTGTCATCTACTTCATAATTATGCCACTTTAGCTTTCCTGACAGGAAATATACATTACTCCTCAACTCACTTTTGGGCTTTTCTTCCGCAATGCGAGTAATCCGTCTCTGTTCAGTGGGTGCCGAGGGTTCAGGCCAAGCGTCTGCTTCCAAAGAATTGTTTTCAGAACTAGGGACTACTGGGGGGGAAATAAGCATAAGTATTAACTTACTTGGCTTCCATGGGTTACCCTTAGAACCCTTGTCTTCGTCTCCATTTGCACGCTGAATGTTAGACAAGTCGTTGTGACTACTTTTCTCAGACCGCACGCTTAGCTGAGCAAACTTCGAAGAAAAATCACTCATTACAGAGGTCTATAGAAAGCCTGTAAAAGGAATATTGGAAGATTATTAGCACAAACAGGTTTAAGACTTAAAAAAACCTTAAAAATTGGAACCAGACTGAAAAAATACACAGAAATCTACAGTGCCATTTTGTAATACTAACAGCGAGAAAGGACGCCAACACCAACCACGACTTACTGAACCAACACAGTCAAAATAATGTGTCAACAGAGGAAGAACATACAGATAAACAAAATCTTCATTCTGTAGGTGAAAGCCGTAATAATTCTTTATTTGTAAAAAGAGATGCTATTAGGTAACATGGAATAATGTTACGAAAACATGACTTTCTAAAGTATTCTTCGAGCCTTAACGTGCTCTGGACAGTGCAAAGTCTAGTTTACAAAAAGTTATAACTCTTGTTTTAGTAACCCAAAGACCAAAAATGATGAAAAACTAGTCGATAGTCAGAAAGATAGATCGGCAAATAGCACATAAAGGAGTTGTTTTTATTCCCATCGGATGTAGAGAGAGTCGAACCTTCTTTTAGACGAATTAGTAGGTGTCCTTCTTCCTCTAACGATTGAGAATTTCAAAATTCTTAGACCGTGAGTAGTAGACCGTCTGAACATATTTTCGTGTACACTGTTACATGTCCTGACCTTAAATGATGCTCTCTTATTAGTAGTTTAATGGGGAAATGTATCATTATTCTTGTAACAGTAAATAAATCCCCGAAATCAATAGCTCTGTAAGTGTTCGACATTGGATGCTGACTACACTAGTTTTAATGGAATCACCTAGCTGAAGGCGCTCCGTCATGCATGCGCACCGGATCACGAGTGGGAACGCCGTGCTGAACTTCTCCTGCGATCACTAGCCAGTTTGGATCAGTCGATATATTGATAAGCCATCAAATATATCTGACAATCTCCTCGCTTCTGAATTTTGGTTTCACTGGGTGAGTGCGAGTTAATTATAGGTGTTAATGGTAAAGTGTTTTCAAACCACAAAATCTGTGGCATCCTCAGTGGTGAGCCCGATGTGATTTGATACACCAACCCATAAACTGTGAGTCGGTGCTTTTTTGGAATTTCATAATTCATTGCTTTACTTTAATTCTTATATATTGTGATATTTTTTTCCACTTTCATTCTCGTACTTGAAATTTCACCATGACGGAACAAATACCCAAGGTACTTAAGTTAAATATTATGCTCCCACCTTCGTTTCAACTAATGCCATCCTGGCCAGACAACATCGAAGCTTGGTTCTGCTACGCAGAAGCCAACTTTTACGTGTACGGCAATGACTGATCCACACGCTCAACCCCTCGAGCTTTTAAAGCCACAGGTAAGTCACGCCTAGCATGTTTACTAATGATGTTTCGGAACCTTACGAAACTCTAAAACGGTCGATTCTGGAACGCGGAGATCTACACGATCAGAAAAGGTTAGGTCACCTGCTTAATAACATCAACCTGCAACATGGTTCTGCGACAGACATGTTGCTAAGAATGAGAGAGGTTATCGGCCAAAGGACTTTCTATGATGGCCTATTCAGACAACTTTTCCTATCCAAACTACCCCAAAAGGTGGAAGCTTTGCTGGTCTCGATTCAAAACAACGCCGTAGACGATCTGGCTGCATCTGCTGACCGTATCCTATAAATCACGAAATCTAATGCCGAGGTTTTTCAGTTAAAGAATAACCTCAAACTACTCAGAATGATATTACGGAACTACGTCATACACTTACACGTTATCTTAGATTTCGTACTGACCGTAAACGGTCACATACCCCGTGAAGAAGCACTTCACCTAGGCGATCTGTCTCCAGACTACGAGAGACGGATAACCCAAACTGGTGCCGGTATCATAATCAGTAAGGCAAGTCTTCCAGAAATTGTAGAAAACCCTGCAATTATCCGAAACCAAAATCGACGAACACGAAAAAAATTAGGGAAACTTCCCAGCCGGCCGCGTTAACGGCAACTGTAGCCGGCGAACATAACCGTCTGTTATACGTCACAGACGTGATCACGAAAGTTCGCTACCTCGTCGACACTGGTGCAGAAGTTAGCGTTCTTCCTGCAAATTATAACTACCGGCTTTACAAATCTGTTTTAAACCTACAGGCTGCAAACGAAAAGCCAAATCGCCACATCTTAAAAGGTACGTGTACCTTAACGTGGATTTACGCAAACCCATTCACTGGATCTTCGTTGTTGCAGATGTTTCTATGCCAGTCATTGGTATAGACCTTCTACAACACCACAATCTACCCATCTACAAACGCAAACTGAGGCTAGTAGACGGAAGCACTAAGTTATCTGTTTGAGTAACTTCTTTTTCCGGATGCAGATTATCACCAGTCACAGTAAAGCACACGATCGATCCACACTGCTGATAAATCCTCAATAAGTACCCTGAGATATACCAAACGCAACTGAAAGTGCCGTGTGAAACCAGCAGTGTTACACATCACATCTCGACTACAGGACCACCTGTGTTCTCGAAAGCACACCGACTGGCTCCCGAAAAGCTGAGGTTGGCCAAAAACGAATTTGACCACATGGTAGAATTAGGAATCATTCGATCGTCAAACAGACCATGGTCATCTCCTTTGCACATGGTCCCTAAAATGGACAGCAACGATTGTCGTCCAAATGGTAACTATTGGCGTTTGAATGCGAAAACCGTTTCCGATCGTAACTCGTTGCCTCACATTCACGATCTAACAGCTACCTTGAAAGGCACAACTGTCTTGTCTAAAATTAACTTGGTTAAAGCTTATAATCAAATCCCTATGGCTGCTGACGACATTCCAAAAACCACTATCATAACTCCCTGCGGACTCTATGATTTTTTACGAATGCCTAAGAAATGTTGCCCAGACTTTCCAAAGGTTCACAGATGACGTTTTTCAAGATCCCAACTTCGTACATGCGTACGTTGATGACTGTCTCATAGCAAGTCCGGACAGAGAATTTCATCTCCAGCATCTGGACATTGTTTTCGAACGACTGCAAAAGCATGGCATTACTGTAAACATCCAAAAATGTCAAATTCGAACCGACTCGTTAGATTTCCTAGGACACATTATTGATGCTCAAGGCGTCCGACCTCTTAGAAGCAAAGTGTTGGCCATTCTGGATAACCCAGAACCGTACACCATTAAGCAGTTGCGCACTTGTAACGGTTTTGTAAGTTTCTATAGACGGTTCATACCGAAATGCTCACCTTTTATGAAACTGTTAACCGATCAACTTCGTGGAAATGTGAAGTTTATTAATCCGGACGACACCGCGTGAAAAGCATTCTCCACAATTAAGGGACTTATCGCAAAGGCAACCATGCTGGCACATCAGTACACTCAAGTGACCATTAGTATTACAGTAGACGCATTCGACTCAGCAATCGGAGGAGTCCTACAACAATGAGTTGACCACCCCTGGCAACCTTTAGGATCTTTTCTCGAGACGGTTGCTAGACACTGAATCGAGGTAGGGCACTTTCGGTAGGGAACTCCTGGCTATGTATTGTACTGTAAGTCATTTTCTACACTATCGAAGGTCGAGAATTCACCCTTTTTACTGTTCATAAACCCCCTACTTTCTTAAGTTCATCTCTAGACACATACTCACCTCCTGGGTCTCGACAACTGAGCTACATTTCGCAGTTTACTTCAGATATACAACACATTTCTGGAGCAAACAATGTAGTCGCAGACGCTTTATCTCGAATAAGTTCCTTGAACAGTTTTCAAGAAACCGACGTTCTGAAACTCGCCCAACATCAAAAGGAAGACACTGATCTTCAGCAGGAGTTATCCTCAACAACTCTTAGACTGCGCATTAAACAGATGGGCACATGTATGTAGACCTTACTATGTGACACATCTACAGGTAGGGGTCGTCCAAACGTGCCGAAAGATTATCGACTTAACGTCTTCAATACGTTGCACAAACTTTCTCACCCAATGGTTCGTGCATCCATTAAGGTTATAGTGGAACGGTTTTGCTGGCCTGGTATGAATAAAGACGTGAGGGATCGGGCACGCTCCTGTGTAAGCTGCCAAAAATCTAAGGCCATTAGACACAACAAATGTCCCTTAGGCTCTTTCAAAACTACTGATGCTCGTTTTGACCATGTTCATCTGGATTTGGTTGGACCCTTACTAGATTCAAATGGATACTCTTATCTCTTAACCTGTGTAGACCGTTTCACTTGATGACCAGAAGCAGCACCTATTAAGGTCATTATTGCTTAGCCAATAGCCCACGCCTTCTTCGAACGATGGGTAGCGAATTTCAGCTGCCCTTCAACCATCACTACGGATCGCGGATGCCATTTCGAATCTGGACTTTTCCGTTGTCTGTCCGTACTACAAGGATCCACTCGCTTCCGAACGACCGCCTAACACCCACAAGCAAACAAGTTGGTAGAACGCTTTCACCGGCAACTGAAAGCTTCTCTATCCGCTGCAAACGTTTCACAGTGGACCGACGCTTTTCCACGTGTCTTACTAGGTATTCGCAAAGCAGTGAAATCTGGCATTGGATACACTGTCGCTCACCTCTTTTATGGAATGACACTTTGTCTTCCAGGAGAATTAGTGGGTCCTTCATCTTCAATGAACATGCCTCTAAACTCCTACATGAGCAGGCTTACCAACGCAATGCGTTCAGTTAAACCTGTTTCCACTCGACCGCAATCAACTGATGTTTTCGTTCAACCTGACTTACGATATAGTACACATGTCTTCGTACGTCGAGACTCACATCGATGACAACTCGAATCAGCATACGAAGGACCCTTCAAAGTTCTTCAGTGTGAACTTATGTACCATATAATCGATAAGAATGGCTTTGACGATAGCATCAGCATCGATTGAATCAAAACAGCGTATGTAGAAGGGAATCCTATCCACGTCGATTTTTTTTCAGTAAAATCGAACGACATGGCTCCTACCCTTATAATAATTCATCCGACAGCCAACACGCACGTTAATATTTCGGCA